TACTGAATACTGAATAATTATATATCAATTGGTTAAGAATAGCATATTTTTTTTCAAAGAAAAATCTGATCTAAAGCATGAAAAGGATATATTTTCAAGAATTTTTTGAAGAAAATTATTCATTTTCAAAAATTTTGCACACATTTATTTATATTTTAAAAATCTTCATGAATTTTAATATGTTAAAATATAAAATAATTTTTGCCTTTTAATTTTAAATATAGCGCTTTTAAAAAGATCTAGGTTGACACAATTACAGCGATTATACTTCTTTTAAATGAAAAAATTAAAAATATTTTTATTTATTATGAGTACAGTTATAATCCATATCAATCATTTTTTATTTTTCACTAATTTTTAAATAAAAATATGTGTGTAGTTACAGAGTAGTAGTTCAGGATTAGTACAGTGTGCCCAATCATTAAGCGTTGCTGTCAGTACTGCGAGTGGAGAAGGCAGCAATAATAGCAGTGGTAGTAATAGTGGAAATAACGACAGAAGAAGGAAAAGTGGTCTTACCACAGTTATGCATCGGCCAGGTATGATGTAGTCTAAATTTCAATAATATGTTGAGTGTTTCTCTTTTCTTTTCACAATTAACGATTTAAAATTGCACAACTTATAATCACGCTTTATATATTTATTTCACCAAATTATAAAAATCCCATAATATTTTTTTTGTTTCAAAAAGAGAGAGAGAAAGAGAGAGAGAGTGTTTTTGCGTGAAATATAACGCGGCTTTTATATCAAATGGACAGATGATTTAATTACAAGTATATCGTATATAATTTTACTTTGTTCTGAGTATGTTCTGTTTTGATATTAATGTCTTATTTGCCAAACGTATCATGCTTTATTATATCGTCCTCAGACAATTTCAATATCATCTATTTATTCCTACGCATATATGCATGTATCTGCACGCACGTGATATTCCAGTCTTACTAAAAATCAATATATTAATAAAAGTTTCTCAGCACATCTAGAGACCAAAATTTTAATCTTTTGACACAGTTATTTTTATTTTCAACTTCTTCAAAGATAAAGATTAAAAATCTACATTTTCTACTTGTCTGTCTTTTGAAGTGCCAATCATCTCTTAACGGTACATACGCAGAAAAAAAATATTTTGACTACGGACAACATTTTTATTTTACGCATACTTGCGTAATCATGTGATCATTGGCAAGTGTCAGTGATAGAAGATAGAGAAACGCAAAGGAAATAGAGTTTAGATACTATCGATTGCGAATGGACATATGTATATATATAACATTAATCTTATCAAAATCATACCGACTTCAACGTATTATAGATATGTATAGATCTAACATTTATTTGATTAGATTTTTGCACTTTCTCATATTTTTATGTTACTTGTGTTATATTTGAATTATTATTTTTTTAAGCATTTAGATGTTTTATATTTTATTCAGTTTTATTTTTGATTTTGCATGTTTTTTGTGCCCACTGCACTTCCGTGCCTCGTTGGTTGGTAATATGCATGTAGTTATAAATCCGGAACTGGTAATGGAGGTAGAAGCTAGGATGAATAGAGCTTACCTACCATCACGGCTGTTACCACCAGCTCATCTTAGAGGATCAACACTTCCGCACTACAGGAAAACTTCATTATATCATACTAGTACTGGTAAAATTTTTGTACTTTTGTTAATTTGTGAATTGTTTTGCGTTAATTGAGAGAAAGATGATTACAGTTTTTATTAATTTTAATCTATTTAATTTGTTATATTAAATTATATTTAATTCTTAACATTTTAACATTATTAGGAATAGGTATGATTTATTAAATAATACAGATTGAATTTACATGCTATTTATTCAATATATATATATAGTATTCTGCATTGTGCTTCTCTGAAACATCTGTACGTATGTAAGCTGAACCATCTAACATTATACAAAGAAATCTTGATTTGATAGTAAAATAAAATATTTGAGAAATTTGATGGTTGAAAATATTATCATTAGCAAAATTTTTTTGTCAATATCATTTATTTCCAGATTTTAAGATTATTAATATTTTTTTCGATTGTATTAAAGATATTCTATTTTTGAAGAAGAGCGCAAAAAATTAATGGATGTAAAAATTAAAATTTTTTTTATTAGTAGAGAAGTGTTTAAGCTAGTGTCAAGACAAAATGTTGGTGTTCAAAAACTTCTGAAAATTACATGTTGAATTTTTTTATTTTCTCTCAGAAAACTTTATTCTATTATCAAAAGCGGAAGAGATTTCGGATGATAATGTTAAGTGTACTATCTTATACGTGCGCGTCTTTTCTATCACATACGCACGCGCGCGCGCGCGCTCACACACACACACACACACACACACCGAGTTGTCCTAAATCACTATTATTTTTATTTTCTCATCTAGTTTTATAAACGATTACATTTTAAATTTAAAAATTCTGTCAAAACTTTATTACTAGCATTGTGGTGATTCATAAAAATTGTTTGTATTAAAGAGCAGAAAAGTTAAAAGCAAATATCATGCTTCAAAACGTCACCAATTGATAATAAGCGACACACGAAAAATAAAAAAAATTCAATTGTACGTACCCAAAGTTTGGTATTGATATACGTTACATTGATCTTATTTTTAATAATTTAAATTTTTAAATCTGAACAAATAGGTAGATTAGATAAATATTGATTTTCCTGTACATACAATTTCCTGTTCAACAATAAGATATTACTTTATTCATTTTTTAAAGATAATTTTCATAAAACAGGACTTACATTTATTTAATATTTTTTATTTATTTAATTTTTTGACATCTTATGTACCAGGGTGTACCATTTTAAATGAGGACTTGAAATTCTGAATTAGATGAAGATACAAGAAAAATGATTTAGACAAAAGTTGCAATACTATTTTGAAAACGTCCGAACGTCAGGTACAAAAATCTACAGTAAAATTTTGGGGGTTCATATTGAAAAATTGAAAGTGATTTAAAGACGAATTCGAGATCAAACCGATAGCGCTGTTTTCTCCTTTCAGTTCTGCAAGTTTTGTCTGTAATACTTTTATATTTTTATTCAATTCCAAGATATTTTTGATCCTCTTAGGATGACCATACGTATGAATAATTATTGTGAATCAATGTATGAAAAGTACAAGAAGTTTTATAACATTAATCCTTTTAATTTTAAGACAAAAAGGAAGAATAGTTTCTAGATCATATGTACAATAGATGCATCCTGCAAAACTGAAATATATATTTTACTATATATTAGTTTATTAGGTAAAAACTTTACGCAAATAAATTAATTTCTAATATTTACACATATACATTACCGAGTTATGCTAAATTATTTTCTAATGCTTATATTAATTTTAGTAAGCAATAGAGAGTCGTATAAGGAGCCGAGCAGCCACGTTGCTAGTGAAAGATATTCACCTGTTCGTCGAGCATCGGAAGGATCAGGTGCACCTGGACCAGGCATCCAAGCTCTCCAACAAGAGTATCAACAGTTGCAGAGACTAGCATCTCCTTCACACAGTCCTGCAAGTATTCCTGGATCTCCTGTACATGAAAGAGGTGTAGCAGCAATTACACAAGGTATTATACAAAATTGAAAGAATTCTTCGCTAATGCAAATTCATAGTTGACACAATGACTTAAAAAATTTGTTGTTCATCAACGATAGGTCTGAGTGGTTTAACTACGACGCCGCAAGGAAGTATCGTGCACGGTACACCAGCACAGCCACCAGCAACACCTTTAGATTTAAGTCCACTTAGGCATCATAGATCACCCGCTACTACTCCTGTGAATTACTCCCCCAGTAATAGTCCAGCGTTGGATATGATACAAGAAGAACATTCTGCAGAGATTTCAAGGGTATGTGTTACATTGAGATACAATATGCGTATATTGAAATTGTGTATATTTAACGTATATTTAATTATGTTGTACATATTTTACTTAAAATATTTATTACTAAAATTAAAAAATTTGCTTACAGGTGCCACCGCAAATTTCAGTAACAGATGTCCTCGGCGGACAAGTGACGTTAATTAGTTGCTCGCCTTCTCCGACTCCATCGCTCGATTCACTGGAGGATGCGTTACCTCATTACAATACTCTTCCGAGTTTTATTATCTCAGAACCGTGCGATCCTTTGAGACCTAGTATTACACGCGGTATCGGTAGGCCACTTAGTACGATACCTACCGAAGTCGAGGTAACTCTGTCCGACGAGTCGAGCAGATTGAATTCCGAAGCTATATTAGGTCGCGTTAAACAAATAATAGATGCGAGAGCACCACCAAAGGGTTTCATATTTTCGGGGGAGGAAATGGAAGGTAGTGGACTTAGTTTAGAATATCCGGGTGGCGTACAAATCGAACTTAGAGTATGCGAATCGGAGGAAAGAGAAGTGAAGGGTATAAAAATGCGTAGGATTAGCGGGGACCAATTGCAATACAGTCAACTTTGTCAGCAATTGATTTCGTGTATTACTGTTTGACGACAACCAGCGTATAATATAACACTTTTTTATACATTACGTTACATTCCTAGTGCAACATACACTGTTCATCACAGTATTGCGTATAAATGCTGCATACACACAATCGGTATTTTGATATTGCCATTCTTCATATTATATTTACACGTGTAATATTCAGTGTATTATAGCTTTCTTTTTTAATATTTAGTTTGAGTGATAAGAAGCCATTTTATTTATGACTTACGAAGTTATTAGAAGATACGAGATACACAGGATGTGTATCCATGTTTAAAACATTCTGAAACATTTCATTGTTATATACATATTTGGTAATTTATCAAAAAGTATATATTTTTGTTCTTTTTACTTTTGACAGATAAATAAATATTAGATCTGTTCTTTTTAGCTGAACTGGATGCACTAGTTCAGAATTTTTCTCCTTCCATTGTAGAGGAAAAGAGATGAACTCTGAACTAGTCCAGTCAGTTCAGCTATAAAGAACAAACCTATTAAATGAATGAATTTAGGTAAAAAAGATTTTAATAAAAATTTCTTTATATTAGTGTACAATTAAAGATTTATAATAGCGCTCAGATGATATATAGGGAGTTTTCCAGCCGAGAACACAGTCGACGCAGTGTGACAGTTTCGATAGAAATTTTTTCTGCAATAATGCGGGTTATATGAGTCAATACAATTACTTTGTATAAAAATTTATGTTAAGATTGTATGTGTAGCGCTAAAATATTATTTTTTTTTTTATCTTTTGTTTTACTTTTAAAAATTTTATCGACTCAATTAAAATTTAACTTATTAATAAATTAAGTACGTATAATAAAAAAACGTTAACACGAAAAGTGGCTTCTTTTTTATATTATATTAATTATAATAGATAACATTTTATATCAACAACTACTATATATCGTAGTTATTTTAGCAAAAATGACAAGTGTAAGTTAAAGAATTTGTGGTTAAGAAGAATCAAAGTCACCAATCAGTGCAATAATTGTCGGAAATTAAAAGGTGTTTAATCAAGCACCCATGCACTGTGTTGAATTGTGTCTGACAAAGTCTGTGTTTTCTTACTGGAAAACCCGTATAGATACACGGAATTAATAACTAGGATGTCCATTTTACATGCATTTGACCAAGACTGGTTCAATGCATGTGCATCAAGTGCTATTGTTGCTTTCTATTGTAACGTTCTATTATAACGTTCCTTTCTATTATATACATATTCTCGATGTTAAATACGCGTAGATAGACGAAAAAGTTTCCTTATTTGTATTATTATCGGATATCTATTAGCTTAATTATACAGAGAAACACAAAAATAAGGATATTGTCATTTCTACTGGATTATAAAACAATTCTCTTTTTTTGTGCCACATGTGTATAATTTACAGCATGAATAGATATAAATGTAATATTAACAATGATTTTAAAATAATTTTATTGTAAATACATTATGACAATGTCGTTATTTGCATTAAGTAAAAATTAACGACAAGAATGTGCACATTGAATTTCAATGTGTATGTAAAATTTAAAAATTATGAAGAAATGTTAATATGTGAAAAGGCAATATTTCTATGAAAAATTATCATATATATAAAAAAAGCATGTGCAATGATTTTCGACATAAGAGTATGTGAATGTATGATTTGCGTTCTTAAAATGAAAACATGAATGGGACTCTTCGTTTATTGTTACGGATATACATAGTTTGCTTTTTACTTCCTCTCATTACTCGAATTTTTTAATTGTTATATTATGATGTGCAGAGTAAACCATTTAATAGTATTACATTGTATAATTCTGTTATTATTTATTTTATTAAAAAATGAGTTAGGAAAGAAATATATGTATATTGTTTTGTTGTTTTAAGATGACACATATATTGACAAAATTTTGATATCATGCATTCACTACTAGATTACAATTATTCTTTCTAAATGTTCAACGTTTTTTTACGAATAAAATATCGTAGATTTAAGTAGAACCAATAAAATTATAAATTATATAATTTGATTAAATATTCTGGAGTACTTCTTGCGATTTTTCATATTTATTATGAAACATACGAAGCATTAACTTGCAGACCATTTTACGGTCGATCCTCAAGACGATGTTCATCGTTTACAAGTAAATATTTATCATATTTATATTTAGAATAGTTCAGCAATATGTTAATTTTATTGGTTATACTAAAAATATGATAGATATAGCTTTTTAATATTTGATTCATGTTGATATAATCTACGATGTTTTATTGAACGAAAAAAAGAAAAAGAAACAAACGTGGAAGTGCTATTTAATAAAATAGAGGTCATCTTGGTGCTTTATATATGATAGATGCTGACATCAACCCCTTTTGTAACCATAAGATTTCTTCCTAAGTTACTTTATATAGCGTGATCCATTTTAATCCTTCCATTCGATTATTTCCAATCCGATATCCAAGTTACTCTGTTTCGAAGGTAATTTCTTATGGACAGTATATCTTTGTTTTAGCGGAATCGCTTCCAAGTAGATTTTTATTTTTTTTAAATCTTTTTTAAAGCCAATTTTCTTAAGACTAAATAATTGAAAAGTATATACCTTGTTAAAATTACAAGTTTGATTTGACGTGTTTAAAAAATTTAAATTAACAGATTCTATATTTGTTATTGTGAAATATCAAATATAACGTTAATGAATAATAATATTATATGATAATATTATTAATTATATTATTGCAAAGTTAATATTAAAAATGAAATATGAAACAATTTTGAGAAAAATAAATGTTTTAACGTTTTCATCTTTATTGGTTTGCGAGAAATTGAATTTATGAAAAAGTTAAAACCCTTTTTTATTTAATGTCTTTATAAATATCAAATAAATAAATTTATTAAAATGCTATGTATAAATATTTAATTCAAGTATAAGAGAATCTAAAAAATGCAGTCTCATACTTCTTTATGAGATGTGAAATCTGACATAGATATATTTATAATAAGCAAACTTTCTTAAAAAATTTTATTAAAATGACTACAGAGCACTTAGTATTTATTTCTAGTATTGATTGTTTTATTTCAGTGTGCAGATGAGTATTCGTACAAATAGTACGAATAGTTTCAAAAATAAGGTATGTTTAAGAAAAGGCAAATCTTATTCTGTACCTTTTTTTTTACATGCTTATCAAAATAAATTTTATTTCTTACATATTTTTTGACAATTACCAGGCATATTCAAGCATTTGTCCCAGAATGACATTAGCTTTCAAATATCTACTGCATAAAGATTCTTATTGTCCACTTCTTCCTTAATTAATTCAAATTATTTTTCTGAAAAGTGTTTTCTAAATTTTCAAATTAAGTAAAAATTAAAGAAATTAGAATAAAATTTTAATTTTTTTTTAATGTACTTTACTTTCGTATATGTTTAATTCACATGGTAACTTTAATTCAGCAAAATTATAAAGAAACAACATTGTAAAAGATATTTGACATGTCCATTTTACACCACGATTTGTAATTGTGTGACATGTGCTCGACAAAAATAGAGCTTATGTCGACGACATTATAACGAATACCCTCTAGAAGAGTCGTAAACTAATAATTATACTGTCCAGCATTACTTCCAAATGGAGTAACTATTTAAAATATTTTTTTAATCATTACTAATTTTACACTTATAAAGATTGAAATGGGTTACTCTGAACATATAAGATGACTCATTTTAAATGCAAACCTTGTTTAAAAGAGGACTTGACTATCTATTATACAGGGTTTTAAACAAAAAATCATTCTCTTAATATTTACTATAAAAATATCAAAAGGGTTTATTTTGTACATTTCTTACGAAGCTTTATGTAATGAAATTATTTATACATTCTGTAGATTCTCTCTTAATTCATAGTACTTCTCAATATTCTTTATGTAATATCTAAACTATGTGGTATATATAGATATATATTATTTTTAAATATTATTTAATAAGAATATATATAGATTGTATCACATACATTTCTGATCAGGTAAGATGCATTTTATATTAATATTTTATATTAAATTTCTTGCGTCGGGGTTTTTAAGCAGTAAAAATATCTTTATGGTACAAATATTATAATTATGTAAATAGGTAATTAAATGTAAATACACACAAACACACACACACACACACACACACACACATACACACTTTTACATACGCGCGCGCACACGCACAGTATATTTCGAGAGTAAACTAATTGTAAGCACTTGTGGTGCAGGGTTGATTGAGCTAACCGCTTTAAAGATTAGAGATTGCGAGCAACCCTGCTACTTGCCAATCGATTAACCTTTGTAAAAAATATTTTGCTAAATAACAAAGATACATTTGGGTTATAGAGGCGTATGTACATAATGAAAAAATGTATGATAAAAATCAGATTAATGCGTAAGGAATACAGTATGTAGTTTCTAAATTCTGCGTATTTTCTTTCAACTTTTTTCTTTTTACTTCTGAAGAAGCACATCATATACGAAAATCAATTTCCCAAATCCTGTCTCCCATGATAAACAAGTTTTATTTTAAAATCTCGTACAAAATTTTACAAATTAATCGTTTACGTAGAATAAAAAATATTTCTTTGATTACTTATCATATTAAGAAGAAAAATAATAACACGTCCCATCTTCTATTAACATCAGCTAATCGAAAACTCACTTTCTCACTAATCGCAATCGCGGTAGGGAAAGAAATATGCCAGTTTTATTACAGTGGTATTTGCCATCTGCTTATTCATTAAATAGCGATCGATTGGCCATCGTTTGGTTGTTGCCACTGCAAAGTTAATAAAAGACGTGTTGTGTGATGTAAAATTTCATGTGCCTTTTCTGATTTTTGACACAAAATAAATATTTTAAATTATTAAATATGGAGAAAAAAAATATATACATATATTGTATAATCGGTGAACGCTGTAAATGCATTAAATTCTTATCTCAAGAAGATATTTCCGACGTTGAGTACACGCTTTGCGCCGAAAGTTGCCGCAGCGAAAGGGTTAACACACTTGGATTTGCAGTGTGCAATTCGGCGGCGACGCTCCCTCCCCCGCTTGGCACGTTGCACACGCTCGAGAACTTTTCGTGCATTCTCTTCCATGGACCGCTAGCAGTCCTTCGCTCCCCAAGTTTGATTCCACGGCGTTTCGCAGTCGGCATACCGGAGGAAGAGTGCCATTTTCAATGGCTTTATGTTCCATATTTTGCGTCTTATATATTGCGAAAAGCGTTATACACATTGCACGTAACACGCTGTATGTTCACGCGTTGACTGCCGAGTTAATTAATAATTGTTGATCTAAATCCGTAACTAACAAATGTAAATAAAAGATAGTAAAAAAATTATCCTGGCGTCACAGAATTTACAACAGTAAGACAAAGTTACTACCTAATTGTACAATAGCAGTCAACGTATTAACGATGAAATAAATATAAGGACAAAATCCCAAAATCTCTGTTCCAATTAAGCAAACGTGTTTGAATACAACTTTTTCTTTTGCCCGTTATTTATTCGGGAATCCTTATGCCGTAATGCCAAAGAATCGATTCACAGTTTGTTGAATTATAAAACAGCAATGAATTTAACTGGATAACTAGAGCTAAAAAGCATTATTCTTTATTACCCATATGGCGTTTACACTTGGGAATACATCATTACGTTACCCTCCATTGCACCTCTTTTATTATCGTATATCTCATTTAATGTCGCAGCACAGAGTGCCAACAGTTTGTGCATGCGCGCATGCTATCACGCATCAGCTTGCCGAGCCAAGTATTTAGCGCCGAGCGAAATGAGAGAAGAGATCAGGTATAGGCACAGTAAAGAGGCGTAAACCATAGTCACTCGGTGCACTGCTATCGCCAATGGTCCATGAGAATGTAACTCCGCCTCTTAAGCGTGGCCAGCTCCCTTCCACAATGCTCCAACTTTATCCACGGTGATCGCATTCGGTTGCGCTTAGTCGAGCGTGCGCATGAGTATTTAGATGCACACGTGTGAGTGAATGCATATTACACACACGAAGGTATTCTAGGACCAAACGAGTTTTGTGCGATCGTCCACCAATCGGCTGTTTAACCACTTGTGGCCTTTTCGAGTTACGTTCTACCTTCTTTCTGTCTTGCTTTTTTTTCCATAAATTTCCTCCCTAATATTTTACGTGTGCATCAGCGAGAATTCACGCACGAGGCGAAACTTGGCTTATTTGTAAACGTTTTTCAATTTCAGCCAATTCACTTAAATATATGTAGAAACCGCTTTACTATAAGTATACATATGCGTGTGCGTAGAACGCCATACATTCAAATGGCGGGGCTATAAGAGGCGTAGAGGGATTTCTTATTTCTGCTCTGGTAAATCTGTCGCTTCAGTCAGTGAGACAGCGAAGGGCGAGCTGCGCACCATTGACCGTATTCGTGCTTTTTTTTTCTCGTCTGCTCAGTTATTGATACCGCGATTCGCTGTGCGCGCAAGCAAGACGGTGCGATGTAATAGTTTGCGAATTTATCTCGGCATGTTCACGATTATTTATTATGTTATGCATCGTACATCATTGTTGTTGTGCTGTTTGCATCCATCGTCAAAGATTTTCGCGATTAATCTTTTTTGATTCAGTGTGCACTCCGTAAACTCTGTTATACTATTACTACAAATTGTTTTTAAGTGCTTTTTTTTCTCAACTTTGCCAGAAATGTGACATTGTAGCATTTGCAATAAATATGTGATTATCGACACTCGTTCTATGGATATATTTTTCCATGAAATCACGACATACAATAATATGTTGAATCATTTTGCAGTTTATGAAATATTTGCAAAATAAAAAACTTGAATATTGGACGTCAAGATTACAATGATGGTAGTTGGTCATATTATATCAAAATCAATTGTGTGTGACATACATATTTTTCTTTATTTTAAAACACGTATCAAGCAAGTATAATATTTAGACCTTCGCAATTTTCTCTTGTTCGAAATATCAAGACATTCTTGTCGTTTATTCACTGTCATTTATATACTTTACATTACATTATTGGCATTGGATTATCTCAAACATCCATTGTCTTTGTGCACAACAGATTAAAAAATAAAAATGTAACAGCGAATTATCAATGTGAAATTAGTGTTGAATGCATTTGAAAAGCCACGCACAGTTACAGAGCTTACGCTTTGTACACAACCGACGGTTACTGGGCTACAAACTTTTCGATGGATCCGATCATGTTAGGTAAGCAAAATTCAATTGATGTTGCTAAATAATATCAAGTTATGTAAAATATACGATGTCTAAATATAATATAACTAATTGGTTCATGCGATATGTATTTATTGCATATAAGATCAATATCCTAATAACTGGAGTTAATCGTTATTACAAATATAATTTTTTCTATCAAAATAATATTTTGCTCATCTTTTCATATACACGATTAAAATAAAAGTTGACTTAATAGAAAGAAAATAAAAATTACGCTTGTTAATTGATAATTAAGTAAATATAATAGTTGCGCGAAAAGATGTCGAATATGGATATGTATAAGAGAGTCTGCAGATATAATGTAAAATACACACGATTTAAAATACTTTTTAAATGAGAAATCCAGAAATTTATTTCTGAAAATAATTAAAAAATTTATCAATTTTGTTGTTAATATTATTTATAGGAGCTTACAGATAAATTAAATAATAACTATTGTATTAATATATTATCAGTGTTTGGAACATGTCCAGTTACTAGGATATTTACCTTATTTATTGTATCAGTCAAAACTGAATAACTGATTATTTGTATTACAACAATTTGTATTACACCATAAAAACCATAAAAACATTAATATTAATTTCTATAACATTTTAAAATGTTCTGTTTTTATAACATCTTTAAATCTTCTACTAACATGCTCCTCTTTTGTTTTTTGAAGAATGCAAGTGATTTAATATCTTTTATTAATTCATTAATGGACGATGCGGAAAGCTTATATATAACAAGAAAAAACTTGGGACTAAATTATAATGTACACTGAAGAAGGCCTGATACAGGCAGAAACGTTTTTACAATCTATCAAAAAAAGTCAAATGTATGTAATAACAACCAATTCGGCTTGTTTTGCTTTTTATTTTGTTTGTGCTGATTTATATCATTTGAGCCTTTATACATAAGTATTACTAAATTATAAGTGCGAACAGACAAACCAGTATATTCCAATTATTGTAGTCCAAATATTGTAATGCATATTTATTTAATAAATTTCATTTATACGCCATTTAGATGTGAACGCGAAAAAGCGAACCAACGCGTAGTGGCCTAAAACATTCAATTAAAAAAATGTCTTTCTGCTTGAAGACAACAACTGAACAATTAAATTAAATAGACAAAAACATCATTTATTATATGTAATTTTTCAAGATACGCGATTTAGCAATGGATGTAAATATAGTCATGATCGGACTATTCATTGAAAATCCAAGTCTGTGTGAAACAAATTTTAGAAACTTATATTTTATGGAATTAATGTTCTTTCTATTTGCATGATGTATTTGGATTAGTATAGTGACCACATAATTATTTACATAATCCAGACGATAAAATAATGATGCATACAGCAATTGCGGCGTAGATAAATTTTTAAAATCATAGAAGAAGTGTTCAATTAACTCGAGAGATTTAAATTATAGTTTATATGGTTATCAATATTAGTCGTATATGAAAGAAAGAAATCAGGTATTAGATTGATAAAATTGTTAACTTTTGATCTCGATCAATTGAAATTTGAGCGCGATTAATAAAGTTGACATAAAGCAAATATAAGTATTTCCGATTCTATTATTTAGAATTTATAACAGTATTGCGTTTTTAAAATTTTTCTTTATTATTGAATTGGAAAAACGTGTTAAAAATGTTTGTAAACTTTATATTAATAACAAAGTATTTAATAATAATGATAAAGTAAAAAAAATTATATTAATTATCACATTATGTTAATAAAATTGTATATAGGTGTATAAAAAATATACAAAAAAGATATATGTATTATTTTGAATACAATATCATTTCTTTTTATTACATTATGTACAAAAATATGTTTTAAAAAAATTATTTTCCCTTTTAAAATTGTTTAAACTATGTATTTTTAAAGAATGAAATATTAGCAGATCATTTAAAATGTATTATATATAAAATCATCCGTTAAATTATATAAAAAATTATATAATTTCAGAAAAATAACAAAACTGCACTAGGAAAAATATTGATCGACAAAACCAAATTTTTATTATTATATTTATGTAAATTGTAACAAGTTATTATTATTATTTTAATCAAAAAGTTTAATTGAAAAAGACTTCGTTGACATATAATATTCTACGCACGTTTGTGCGTATCTGTTTTAGACAGTATAATAACTTTAGCATATCAATAATACGCTTTCGTAATAAGTTGACACAAGTATATTTTACCATTGAATGGATATGCGATTTAAATATATCCATTTGCATCGCAATGAAATCTAATTATAAATCGTTTAATTAACCGTAGTTAGATGTTTACTTTCTGTTTTCTTTGATTTAATAAACTTCATGATCGTTAGAAGTTAATAGCTGAGTTACAGTTGAAGTAAATACCGTGTAATAATTTAGCACGCGAAATCTTATCTTTAGATACATAACCAGCGCAATTGATACAATAATAGGATAGCTAGTATGATGTAATAAATGTAATAAATGGGATTTGCGTTAGAAAAAGAGCTACATTGCAAAGTCAAATTTTAATGAGAAAGCGGTATGATTAATGACAAGAATAGATACTTGTATAAAAATTGATTTTGAATCAACTTTAAATCTTAAATAAATTAAAGACGATTTTGAATCAACTCTAAGTCTTAAATAAATTAAGATTTAAAAAGAAAGAAAACGGATTTCTCATAAATTGAAGTTCGAGAATGCCATTGCCACTCGAATCATCATTTGCCTTTCGCTGCTCAATTGACACAACTACAAACTTTTTTGTATCGAATTGTGGCTAGAGATGAAAAATGGATTTATTGCGATAATACTGACCGTAAAAAGTAGTTAAATTCGTAGATAAATTCCGTCGAATCCTCTACGTCGAGATAATCTATGATCGCAGCGTACTCCTGTGTAGTCTGGTGCCTATACGATTGACAATTGAAGTTGAATGAACAATTAATCAAAAAACGATTTTATTTTACGAACAGAGTGATACTTTTGCACGATAACGTCAGGTACCATGTTGCATTGACGATTCGGGAAATTTTAATGGAGCTGCAATGAAAAATCTTGCCACATCCGGCGTACTCTGCAGATGTTGCCCCCGTCGGATTTCCACCTGTTCCATGCAGCACGGCCTTTCTGGCATACGATTTTACAATGTTGCAAAAGTATAACAATTCGTTGACGACTCTATTCGCTCCAAGAGCAAAGGTTTTTTTTCACGGTATCCATCTTTTACCTGAAAAATAGCAAAAAGATATCAGATAATGCTGAAAACATTTTGATTAAAAATATTATATTATTTACAAGATATTAAGGAAGAAAAATTGTTTTAAAAACGATGAAAACTTTTATATACTCCTAATAAATAAAGTCGGCTTCCAAATTTCTAGAAATTTCTAGAAATTAATTATATTTTGAAAATTATACGAGAGATCGCCGGAGTGAAATACAACGGGTCAAAATCTATAATTTATAGATTCTTCCTTTTTATTAAAATGATAAGTTGATTAAAATGATAAGATGCTGCTACTAAAAATATTATTAATTAACAAATAAGTAAATAAACCATTGACTCACAGGATTTAGCAAATGCTATTTTATTTTATATGACAAAATTCTCTACAACGTTAGCATGAATTGATATAATTATGTTCGACACGCTCCATTCATAGAAAGTATGCTGTATTCATTTCTTCAGTAGAAACCTTTGACCCTCTTATTGGGTCTCGGATGCCCCCGCGTTCTTATCGCTGAGGGAGTTTGTCTTTTTTTAACATGGCGTTGATGACCGTAAAAGATTGCTCTAAATAATAAATTTACTAAAATGCATTGAACAAAGGACAGAAAAAATGGCAAACATAACAATTAACTATTTTAATTTTGTACTTTACTGCTAATTATTTAATATCAGAAGTACGTTCATAGATACACATATGTAGTATGCGACAGATATCTATTGAATTAATTTAATAAAGTATTAATTAGAAAAATGAATTAAATAATACTAAAAATATATAATTTAAGGGTAAAAACACAAATAAGTACACTTTAAAATATTACTATTATCTGTCTTGACTTTTCTGGAAGTAACGTTAATAATATCTGAAGTCAATGACAGCAATACATCTATAACTGCTGCTTGCTACTTATAGTTCAAGACCCTGATATGTAACGCGATACATTTAAACGTAAAACCGAGATAAAACATTCGAACAACATTCCAAAGTCATGATACATACGTATGTTTAAGTTACATATAACTTAATATAACGAGCATTTATACTTTTAAATTATTATTTATATGACATAATGTAAGCAGATGGCTTGTTGTTAGTTGCTTCTGTGTACATCGGTAATCGACATGTAAGTACATCGGCATGTATGCTAACAAATTTGTTGGAATAACTTTGTCGGTAAATGTCATTCTTTTGCGGAAGAGCTGCCAGGTGCTTTGCAAAATGTATTTACATATAGAACAAAACATGAGGAACAAAAACCGTTACACATTTATTAGCGTTCAATTAGTACTGTTTGTTTCGGTTAAATAATGAGAGTAGATTTTGGAGAAATGTTGAAATAGGGTTGTGTGGTCCAGTTGACAGAGGACTGTACAAACAATAGCATTGGCTGCTGGAATTTTCTTTTGACTGCGCACGGGGAAATTATGAGTTCTTATACTTGAGACCAATTAAAAGTACTAAATTGTAACATTTATCGATTTGTTTAGCGTAGGAAAGTTTAAAAAATCTTTATTTTATATACAACTAAGCATTTTTTCATTTATTTTATCAGTATTAAGATATTAATACTGATTCATATACATATAAACCGCGTTTGAAGAAAGATCATTGAATTATTTAATTATAAAAATACTGGAGCTTTGATAATTGGAAAATGTATATATTAAAATGTATTTATACATTAATAAATGTTAATTGTATTTATTAACAATTACATAATTATTCTTCGTATTGGTAATTGTGTATTTGTTGGAATAACAATATTTCAATCTCAAGTAATTATTATCTATCAATGGTCATTTGCAATCAAAGCACTATTGGCTTGGACATCACTGCATTAATGTTGCAGACTGTATTGGCAGATCTTTCTAAACGACATCATTCTTTGCTGATATTTGGCCACTGCTACTAAGCCAATGTTGAGCCCATTTAATTTTTATAGCATCGGCATTTCCGAAATAATAATTATAAACTTGAAAGCTAAAGAAATTTCTTACAAATTAAAAAGTTGAGAAATAATATCATTTTAAATACGATCCGTTTTAATAATTTTTTTCTAGCGTTGCTTTAAGAAATAAATGCACTCGGTTTAGAAAATTGCTTTATCTATCATATATTCACAGTATGTTTGCAAAATAATGAGAGTGACATTGTATTAATTTAAATATGAATTGCATATGTAAAAATAGTTTAATTTATTCAAAATATATTTTAAAAAAAAATTTATATATATATATATATATATATATATATATATATATATAATA